GAGAGAAAGAGGCATCATGTGAGAGAGAAACATTGATTGGTGGCCTCCTGCATGCAGGGGACTGAACCTTGAACCTGCAACCCAAGTACTGCCCTGGACCAGGAATCGAAACTGCAGCCCTTTGGTGTACGGCTGACTCTTTAACCACTTAGTAACATGTCCAGGAAAACTTTCATATTTTAATAAAAATGTTAATTGGACAGACATAAAATACAAAATATATAAGAAAATTATGTACATATGTATGTATGCTAATGCATATTTGATTGAAAAAATTACAAAATGGTTTAAAGAGAAATATGAAACTTGAGAAAGAGTAATACAATATTCCTGATAATCAACTCTCTAAATAAATTTTTAATTTTAAAAGACTAAAACAGGTGAATAAAGAAATAAAACAGTAGAAAATTAATAAAATAATACTCCATAAGATGGAAAATTACCCAGTAGGAATGCAGGAATAGGGATGATATTGCTTGACAACAGATGAGTTTAAAAATAAACTCACAGAAATCAGAAAGTAATTAGAAAAGAAAAACAAAGCACAAAGAAATAGAGAAGAATTTGGAAGGAATACAAGGAACTCAGGAAGCTAGAAGACATCAAGGGACAGAGGATAGCTGTGAGAAAAAATAAGCAGAAAGAAAAAGAAAAAAAAGATTTAAAATAGTTTGGGGGAGAAAATGATATATGTAATAATCGGACAAAAAAGTTCTATCATCACCAAAGTGAGCTTTCAAAGAAGAAAAGCAAAAATAAAAAGACAAACTTTTTGAAAAGTTATAATTCAAGACAATTTTGAAGAAATAAAAACTGATATAAATCTACATACTGAAAAACAGAACATTGTCTGAGAGATTTGGGAGAATTAACCCAGAGTGATTAATTTTATTTGTAGCTTGTTAAAGTGAATGGATTTTAAGGATGCAACCCCAAACAAACAAACAAACAAACAAACAGGAACAGTGGTTCCAAACAAAAAAGGGGAAGGCACAATAAGGAAAAAAATATCAGCTTGGCTTCATATTTATCTAACGTAACCATTTATTGACAGAGAATACTGTAGAGATACCTATATAATACTCAAAGAAGGAGAAAGAAAGCAGAAGGTACAAATATTGGATAAGCCCAACTCTATAAAGGTCACTGATGTTGATCAAGCGAGAGTTCAGCTAATATTTTCCCCACGAATTCTTCTTGAAAATCTACCTGAGCGTGAACTTCAGTCAGTCAAGAGATGACCAGGGAAATTATGACAAAAAGATGTGTGGTGACGATTGAGTGCATTTAATCACAGAGCTAAGATCAAACAAATGTGGGGACGGAACATAATGAAAGAAAATGCTACATGATAAGGTAAAAATTAACAACAAAGGAGGGGAAAGTAAAGTAATTTCATTGATCATCTATAATTTAAACTAGACAGATCAAGGAGTAGAAGTATAATCAGATCTAAAAATACAGAGTAAACACCGGGAAAGTCAAAATTGACTAAATCATGGGGAAATGAGAGAAGAAATAGAAGGAGAGAAAACCTGCTAAATCTATTGCTGCTCATGACAGGGGACTAAGAGAAAAAGATAAAATTTTAAATAAAAACCTTGAATACTGGAAAAACTAACTAAAAGTAATAAACAAAAATAACAAAACAAACCTCATGTTGGAAAACATTAAAAATATCTAAAAAATAGAAAATATGACATTAAATAACATTAAATTAAGACCAGACGTAGCAGTTAAAGCAAATGTCAATGGGTTTAACTGATGTATTGCAGAAGAAAGCTATTGTACCAGAAATCAGAAACTGCTAAAATAAGTGATTCAGAAAGAAAAAAAAGAGTAAAAGGAAAAACACAAGTATAAGTGGAAAATGCAAAAGATAAATCAAGTGTAGATGCAATCTTTATATCAGACAAGATGGAATTCAGACCAAAAACGAATGAAATGATTTAAATAAGGACATTTTATAATGTTAATTAAGCTAATTCAAAATAAAGATAAAACAGTTATGAATTTCTAGACATTACAGAACAGAGCAGCAACATTTATAAAGCAGACGTTACAGAAGCTACAAAGAGAGATAGAAATATCTTGTTAGAAGCACTTTATTAACCTCTCTGATAGATCAAGTTGACAAAAATTCCAATTAAGAAGTTAAATCTAATTGATAAGTGTTTAATGCTTTACTCTAAAATAAAGAGCTTTTTTAGAAGTGCTCATAAAATATTAACTAAAACTACACACAAAAAAATTTAACATTTCCAAAGTAGGTATATTGCTGACTATATTCTTATTAGAATTCAGTAAAACTAGTAATTAATAACAAACTTAGAAAATCAAAAGACTCAATTACCTGAAAAATTAAAATAAAATTTGTCTCAAAGTACTCTTAGGATCAACCTGAATTGGTAGAATTTTTTAAAAAACAAAACACTATAGACAAATTTCTTTGGGATATTTCTAAAATAGGGCATAGAGAATAATTAATAACTTCAGATTTCAGATCAAGAAAAAAATTTTAAATGAAGCAAATTACTCAATAATAAGACCAAAGAAGTTTTAAAGAACATGAAAATAAACTGAAATAAACAGTAGTGTGCAATTAATAAAGATAAAAACTGAAATTAATGATTAGAAAACATAAATAATAGTTACACTGATACATAAATCAATTTTGGTGGAGGAGAGAGATATCAATTAAATGAGCTAACCCAAGACAGTATAGCTATAAAAATGAAATATTATGGGAAAGGATAATTATAAATAGGGAAAAATAAGAAAATCATAAAAGATAGATTGCTAAAATCAATTTTAAAACCTAGATAAAATGGAAGTCTAAGAGACTATTTATCCAAACTAATTCAAAACGAGAAAAAAAATTAAACCAAGAGATTTTAATAGAATAAATGGAGAAACATCTCAAACGCCTAAAACTTATATGAAAATATATTCTCATAGGGAAAATCTACCAATTCTTTTCAGAGTAGATAATTCCAAAGCTATTTAAACTATTTCAGAGCATTAAAAAAAAAAAAAAGGGGAGAGTGGGATATGGGAGAGATTTCTGTTATTTTGGAAAGGATGTATTAGTGTCATACCAGGTTAGAATTACACAGATAAAGAAAAACACAAGCCTATCTGACTTAAGAATATTAATACAAAAATCATGAAAAAATATTCTAACAGCATATTAAACTAATAATGCATTAAGAAGAGTTCATTTAAGGAATACAAGAATGGCTCTATATTAGCAAATTTATTAATTATAATTAATTATACTAATAAAACTAAAAAAAAGATCATAGAATCATCTCCGTAGGATTATCTCCAAAGATATTTTCAACATTCTGCAACTATTCTGAATTAAGAGAGAATTTAAACAAATTAATTATAGAAAAGTACTTATTGCAATGAAATATATCTTCGTCAACCTAAAAATCAAACTCAGACTTAATGGAGAAACACCAAAGGTGTTTTCATTAATATGAAGATTTTGCAGTTATAAAAATGGAAAACCAGAAGTAAATTATCACTACTTTCTCATTATGTAATTTTATACCTGGTAAGAGCAAAAAGATAATTTAGTAATCTGGTAGAAACTTTGAGAAATAATCATCTGAAATTTAAAATTACTCCAAATATATTACCAAGAAGTGTACCAGGTCAACATGAAGAAAGTGTTAAACACTCCTGAAGCTGAATAATAACAAAAAGACTTGCCTGAAATTCAAAATCAAGAAAAATGTCAATTCTCCTCAAATTGATGTATAAATTTAATATGATCCCAATAAAAAATACTTTTTTCAAAATTTGGTGCTAGACAAGTTGATTCTTATATCAAATGGAAAAATATATCATACTAAGATCCCTAAAAAATAAGAACAATGAAATTGAATATTTCTACAAAATATTATTACATCAAATCTTCAGGTTGAAAACATTGTGGTATTGTGTTAACAAATCAATCACTATATAATTCATTGTATTAACAAAGCTAAAGGAAAGTTACAAGAGCATCTCAATAAACTAATGAATCATAAGAGAAAGTTTTATCAAGCAACAACCTATTTAAAAAAAATCATTTACAACTTATGTCACAAGAGGTTAGTTAATCTTCCCAGTATGAAGATATCTAAAGATCAATAATGCAAAAATAACAACCCAATAAAATGACCAAAAGATGTGACTTGATCATTTAGAAAAGGAAAATGACTTTTAAAAGTTAAAAAGTAATGTAAGAAAAATACAAATTAAAACTACACTGAGATACTCCCAGTCACCACTTAGATTTGGCAAAAATTTAAAAGTCTGATTACGCAATCTATTGATTTTAACAGGGACAAAGAGTAACTCTCATGTATTAT